ATCCAGTACCTTCCATCTTGACAAAATTTGTTTTCAGATGGTTATAAACAATCTCCGCGGACTTTACAACCATCGGGACGGCATCCCACCTTGTTTCCATCGTGTTTTCCGGACGTTCCCAGAGGAAGGTATTTGACGATGTTGAACTAAATGCTCCGTTCATAACGGTGGTCTGCCCATTGCACTGTGGTTGCTCAGATGTCTAAATGCCGCAAAGTGGGAATTTGTTTTGAGAGTGGCTTCAAGAAATTCGTGTTCTTTTTCCAACTCTTCCTCAAAACCTCTGCGAAATGAAAGAGTCTATCGTGGCTGCCATTTCGATCACACACTGATATGTGCTATAAACTATGTGGAGTAGAGTGGATTAAGAGCTTTGTGTGCGGGCTCGATCGTGCCATCCACCTGCGCCCTCCCCCGCTCCCGGTCTTTCTGACCGTGTCTTGACACCGGGTCCGTGTGGGAAAGGAGAGAGTACGGTAGATGCTGCACAAGTCTACATTCACTATAAACTAAACCACGCGCAAGTCACCGTGTCTGCTTCACCTAACTGTGGAGCACACGGTGGACACTGTCGGCAACGATGGTCGAACTGTCGGTGAGTATATGAAATAGTTGCGCGATTAAAGAGAAGACTGTAACAGTTCCCTTAATCACTCCTACTGACATTTAGACCGTCGTTTCTGACGATGTCCACGTGCGCCCGATAGCGGATAGGGCGCAGGGACAGTGACTTGCGCATGAATTAGTTTATTTTGATGGTAGACTTGCGTGGCATCTACTGGGCTCCCTCTTCCTCTCCTACCTGGGCCCGAGATCAAGACACAGTCAAGAAGACCGAAGGCGGGAGAGGGCGCAGGTAGTTGGCGAGGCGTGAACCGCGTCCAGACGTGCAACCGCATCCTATGGTTCAAACACAAACTACCAGGAGCTCACACAAAAAGGGAATCGGCTCCGATACCAACTGAGCGGGAGTGCCATAAGGGCCCCTGCAGTCTGACTCTCAGTCCACTAATCGGCCATTCTACACAAATACACACTGGCCTGACTAAAAGGTCTGAATTAAATCGTCCATTGACAACCTAAACCCGACGTTCGCCGCGTCGATGTAGATTTGGACGCGTCGGAGGAGCAAGTGAGTCGAGAGTCGACTTCACTTTATTTTCCATTCTTCATGCATCAGTCAGTTGTCCGACCCATTCAACAAACCGATGCTGACATTAGAAGAAGTTGATGGCAGGACTGAAGACGGTTCG